GTTTTGTGTGCTCTCAATTCTGACAGCCCTATTAAAGATTAATTCAGTTTGTACATGCTTCAGGTAGCTTTTCTTCAAATTCTTTGACTCTCAATCGCTTTTGCAACTTTGTACTTTTGTGTGACTCGCAGCAACAACTCCACCTCATTGTTAGTCCGTTTAAAAAAACTCGGTGCTTTTCCTCGACATTTTGCCGTTACGTTTCAAAGAGCCGGAAAGTAAATAAACGACAGACAGAAATAAGGCAGGTCGAATCGTCTTGCGTTTCACGCATGCGCAGCACAGGGACGTAAGCGTTTTCGGCCGTTTCGATGTGGCTGAACAACTCTGTGAAAACGCATGAAAACGATAGTGTGGACGTGGAGCGTTTTCAGACGTATACGCCGTTCTCAAATTTATCCGAGCTAGTGTAGACGCAGCCTGAGGGTGACATCGTGGGTTTTGCCAAAGTAGTGGCAGTTGTTTAGTAATGACTCCAAGAAATCTTCCCAACTCGTGTAATTCTATAATTCTGCTTCTTATATCTTCTCTGAGTTCCTTGGACTTTCCCATTGTTCTGAGTATCCGTCAATCGAATGAGTGTTGTCAAACCTTTTTATGTTGGCAAAGAGAAACTACCAGTTGTAGTAGAAACTATCATGAGAGGTTAATAGGCCTCAGTCTTGTCGAGTTAAAAGCTATTGTAGAACCTTGTTTGAGTCTGTGCATATATTTTTGACATTGTGTGGATTATAGAAGCTCCAAAATCAAGTCAAGCATTTGGAATCAGTTCTTGTTTTTTAAAGTTATTAAACATGTATGTTGTATAATTCTTCCACTGTGGAATTAATTATTAAAAGCCCCAAATTACCATGACGTTCATGCTCGTGATGCGTGTATGTAAACTCCTGACCACAACTGTACATCCAACTTTTGCCAAGATTGAACCTCAAAGACTTGAACTACCAGCTGAGTCTTCCACTGCTCTGTCACTCAAGCATTAGCTACTTTATCCATTTACACCTATGCAATCACTAGGAGTGAGCACTCCACCATGAAAGGTGCTTTATTTTTCTTTACCTTAGTGTTCTTGGTAGCAGTGTTGTTAGCGTTGGCATCGCTTATGTTCATGTACTGCGACTACAATGTGCCTCACTCTGTGCATTAAATGTAAATTAGACGTCATCGAAGTGATAATAAAGGGAGATTTTAACATGTTTTTGAACGCTCGCTGTATTTTCTCACACACCACATCAGTGATTGAGAGGAAAGTGTTTGTGCTTGTGTTTGCCATGCACATGCCGGTGCATGTCCGTGCATGCATGTCTGCACGTGTGTTTGCATGCGCATGGATGTGCTCCTGTAGGGTGTGCTGACCTGATGACGCTCGACACAATGACCCCTCAGGAGAGGAAAAGGCAGGGTTACATTCACGAGCTCATCCAGACCGAGGAGACCTATGTCGAGGATCTTGAGCTAGTGCTAGAGGTACCGATGGAAACATCGGCATATTTGAACATTATTAACACTTTTCTGTCATTTTTTTCCCGTCCTCACCTGTTTGCATTTGTTTCTGCCTCTTAGGTCTTCTACAAGCCCATGTCTGAGTCAGGCCGTCTGACTGAAGCTGAGATGGCAGTTATCTTTGTTAACTGGAGGGAATTGATTATGTGCAACTCCAAATTGCTCAAGTAGGTCCCACGTGTGACATTGTTATGAACCATCCTGACATCTAAACTATTAAACCCTACTGCTCTGCTAGAATAAACATTTATGAACTCTTTCTGTGAAAACGATCAAAAGCAAATGCACAGAAAAACTGACACTTATTTCATTTCTGCAAGTCCATAGACTCTGAAGGCTTGCAGAACTCATCAGATACTCCATCTATTTATGTTTTGTGAGGTTATGAAATGGTGTTTCACATCCTGATCATCTGTGACCTCCCTCCAGAGCCCTGCGTGTCCGTAAAAAGACAGGAGGCGAGAACATGCCCGTTCAGCTAATAGGAGACCTGCTGGCGTCGGAGCTCGCGCACATGCAGCCGTACATTCGCTTCTGCTCCTGCCAGCTCAACGCCGCAGCGCTGCTGCAGAGCAAGACCCACAACCAGCCTGACTTTAAAGACTTCCTCAAAGTACGAGCCTTGGATAATGGATATTGTGAAAGGAAAAATAAATAAAACGTTTGCTTTTGTCAGATGCAATAAAATATCTCTGCCTCTGTCTGCCTCCTCTTGAGCAGAAGATTGCAACTAACTACCGCTGTAAAGGAATGCCGCTGTCCAGCTTCCTCCTCAAGCCCATGCAGAGGATTACACGTTACCCTCTACTCATCAAAAATGTATGCAGAGAAATGCTGTTTATATGTAACTCCATGAATCCCGCCTACCACTTGTTTAATATTCATCTCCATGTCTCTTAATTTGTTGCCTGTGCTGTGCTTCTTGGTAAGATCTTGGAACACACCCCAGATGGCCACGCAGACCGAGGCCCTCTCCGAGAAGCTCTGGAGCGAGCCGAGGAGCTGTGCTCTCAGGTCAATGAGGGGGTTCGGGAGAAGGAGAACTCAGACAGGCTCGAATGGATACAGGGCCACATGCAGTGTGAGGGGCCCATAGAGGTAAGGACACTCAGACACGAGTATCTCGACTCTCGAGTCCCTGCTGCTATATTAAATATGGCCTCTGCAAAGCATTTCATGTCTGACAAGTCTTGAGCTGTTATCCAGGGACAGCAACAATTCCATTCTTAACTACAACGCTTGACAGTTTGCTTATTTTCGAACAACTTTCCTCAGCCATGCCTTGTTTTCTCTGCACTTTTTTCCCCCCCAGCACTTGGTCTTCAACTCGCTGACTAATTGCCTCGGGCCTCGCAAGTTGCTCCACAGCGGTCGGCTGTACAAGACCAAAAGCAGCAGAGAGCTGTGGGCTTTCCTCTTCAGTGATTTCCTCCTCCTCACACACAGTGCCAAACCCTTCTCCTCCTCAGGATCTGACAAGTTATTCAGCCCCAAAACAAGCATACAGCTCAAGATGTACAAAACGGTAAGCTAATCTCTGGTATAATATATATAAAAATATATATAAATGCACAGATGAACTATTCTTTCTCATCGTTTACGTTCTCTCGGCATTTGCCGATATGCATTTTATCTCCGCCAGCCTCTCTTCCTGAACGAGGTATTGGTGAAAATGCCACCCGACCCGTCCAGCGACGAGCCGCTGTTCCACGTCTCGCACATCGATCGCGTTTACACTCTCAAAACCGAGACCCTGAACGAGAGGCACGTGTGCAAAAATCTCGCGTTCTGTGTAACCACACGTCCGTGTTTCTGCGTGAAGCACTCACACATTTTTACTGCTTCCATTAGGGCAGCGTGGGTCCAGAAAATCAAAGCGGCGTCTGAACATTTCATAGAGACGGAGAAGAAAAAGAGAGAGAAGGCTTACCAAGGTAAACACAGCTACACGCTCATAAATATATCAGCTAATATTGACTATTGACTTTATCCCTTTGCAGAGCTGGTATTCCTATCATCTCCTCCGCTGCTCCCTTGTTAACTTTCCTTGTAGTGCCGGCTTGAGCTGAATGATATAATGACAAGCAGTTTCTTAGTGTCATCTGACCTGGAATCTGCTTGATCTGAAAATGATTGTTTGGTGGTCTCTGTGCGGCACCTTCACAAGTTTTCAGGAAATCAGACTCTACGACTCGTCCCTATGACCACTGGACTGTTTTCACCTACAGTGTCATATTTATACCGTGCACCGAGTATTCATTTGCACGCACTGGAGCTTGAATGGAGTGCTTTATTTTTACTTCCTTTTATTCCAGAGTTGACATTTTTCAGTCTGCATATTAAAAATCTACAATAAGTCAAGCCCCCTGCCAGGGTTAACAAAGTGTTCTTATTTGAACCTTGAAGTATGCATGTGTGTATTGTTCAAACATTATCCTAATTATGAATGGATGCTGCGTTTTTGTCATATATCTTACTGTCTTCTGCTTATTTTAGCACGCTCTCTAAAGTCCAGCGGAATCGGCCGGCTGCTGGTGACAGTCATTGAAGCCCAGGAGCTCAAGGCCTGTAAGCCCAACGGTGAGGCCCCGTGGCAACATGACAGTGCTAATGCATGCTTTGTAATTAAGTCCCGTTAACTCCTTTTCTCTTCAGGTAAGAGTAATCCTTACTGTGAGCTGACAATGGGAGCTCAGTGCTACACATCTCGACCAATCAGCGACACTCTGAGCCCAAAGTGGAATTTTAACTGCCAGTTTTTCATCAAAGACCTCTACCAGGATGTCCTCTGCGTCACCGTGTCCGAGAAAGATCAGTTCTCACCAGATGGTCAGTGGATAAAGGACACGCACATGCACTCATGCATAAAACAGTTGATTATTAGGCTTTTTGTCTAATTTTTCCTGCCTATACAGAATTAAAGGAACACTTAAAGTCTTGGTTTTCCTTTATTAAAGTAAATCAGCGGTCTTAACTTCTTTTTTTTTTTTTTCTTTTTTCTTTTTTTTGTCCGATGAGATGCGTTTCTTTTTCTCATTTTAATCATCTTACTAAATAAAAGTCTCCTCCTTCCTCTTTAGATTTTCTCGGCCGGGTTGAGGTTCCCGTGGCAACGATAAAGAAAGAGATGGAGAGCAAAGGAGCAGCAACCCGTCGCCTTCTGCTGCACGAAGTCCCTACTGGAGAAGTTCACGTCAAACTAGACCTACAGCTTTACGAGCCAACCAAATGAGGAAAATACATCTGAATACTCCATTAGACACACACACCACTTAATTTTCTAGTAATGAAGGACCATTAAAGTGCCTTTTTTATGCTCTTGCACATTACGCAATAATGGGGATTTTACTGTCCCTGCTTGTTCCACTGACCCTGAGCTTTTCAGCGACCTCAAACGATCCAAAACACGGAGATGATTGCCAATATTTTCATAATCGCCAGCCAGAAATGGAAAGTAACAAACGAGACTCAACGTTTCACCGGATTTTTACATTTCACTTTCGATTTGTAAATTCTTTTTTTTTTTTTTTCGGCACACTGCTAATTAAAGAATATAACAACATATCAGCCAGTTACACACACGTGTGGACAGTCGCACACTGTCTCACGTATCTTTATATTACAACTGCTGCACACTGCTGTATAATGTAATGTCAATGGTTAGCCTTATGGTGTAAGCTTGAGGTTTTATGGCAAGTACACCATTAAATCCCGAAAACGGCACTGGCATGAATAAAATGTATGTACAGTAAAACATTTTTCTGTGTTTGTCTTTCGAGTACAATGTCCAGGAAAATTGTGAAGTAGGTTTTTTATGTATGTTTGTTTGTTTTTATTTGGATGCACACAGTAGCCAAAGTCACTGTTAACTTGATGGTTCCTGCAGACATCCACATCTAGAGAACCAGCAGCTGGTCTGGTGGCACCTTCCATCTGATGTGGCTGTTGCACTGATGTGCAGTGGTATAGTGTTAGGCCTGGATGAAAAACATTTCAAACTTAAACTGTTAGTGGGATTTGTCAGTGAGCAGTATGGTGCTATAGTGTACAAATACAGTATATAAGTACCTGCTACACTTGCTTCTATCAGTCTCGACGACCACTGGCCTTTTAATGGACCCACAGGCTGGATATTTAGATGAGGCATGTAGACGTTTGTTGGCCTGAGACTTCACAGACTCACTCAGAGGTCGATGACTTTTAGTTCGCCGTTCAGCTTTTGTCCAGTGGAGTTTTTGCAGAAAGAAAGAAAGAAAGAAAGAAAGAGAGAGAAAGAGAGAAAGATCGATCTATCTCTCATTTGAAGAAGTTTTGACCTGAAAGTATTTTACACTGAAAAAGCAAAAGATTGAGATAAACTCCTAGACCACTGAGCAGTTAATGAAAATGCTCAATGCTAATAAGTACTTTTCAGAAGTACCTATTATAAATTAATCCAGCAAAAAATTAAGGGTACCTGTTGTGCTCATTTTCAGTTCCATATTTCCATTTTATACTCTTGGATTCTAGAGTTGCTTTACACAATTCACAGTTCAAAAAATATATATTTACTAAGTAAAACAACTGTAACTGTCATTATTGTGCTGATTTATAAACTCACCCTAGGCTTCATTAGGTACACCTCTTCAGCTGCTTACTAAAGCTAATACCTAGCCAATCACATGCTAACAAGCCAATTGTTATTTAGATATGTAGACATGATGAAGATGGTGCTGAAGTTTAAACTGAACGTCAGAATGGAAAAGTGAGGTGATTTAAGTGACTGTGATGTAAAGGACCCACAGCGCGTAGCTTTGCAAGCAGTTGAATGTTTATTTGCAAAATTTCCAGTGACTCTGTTTTTGGAGCTTTACAGCTGCCTGTCTCCAGTGCAAGTACACCCAGCTCCCTGGTCAGGTCCCGGCATCCTACTCAAATAGGGAAGGCATGATTATACAATGGAAATCAGCTGTGCTGGTCAGCCTTCCCCTGACACCATATCCTGAACCCACTGCTCCACCGCTCCCCTGTAGCTGAGCCACAAACCACACCATGCCACAGTGACTTTGCACGGTTGTTTGCTGCCAGATGGGCATTGTGAATATTTCAGAAACTGCTGATCTACTGGGATTTCTGCACAAATCCATCTCTAGTTTACAGAGAATGGTCCAAAAAAAAAAGAAAATATCCAGTGAGCAGCTGACAGGAAGGCAACTGTAACTCAAACACTTGAGAGCATTTCTGAACAGATATCACCTTAAACCTTGAAGCAGATGGGTCTACAGCAGCAAACCACACTGGGTGCCATGTCAGCAAAGAACAGGAAACCAAGACTACAATTCACACCAGCTGATCAGAATTGGACAACAGACGATTGAAGAAGCGCTGCCTGATCTGATTAGTCTCGATTTCTGCTGTGACATTTGGATAGGATCAGACTTTTGCGTAAATAACATGAAGGCGCTGATTCATCTATCCTTATATGAGCCGTGCTTATGGTGTAATGCGGGCCAGAGCCATTGCAGAGGGGACCCCACACGAACGCAAAGCAGAAGATGAAGCCTTGCCAAATATGTTTCCAAACCAACTTCCTTCCAAGCCAAATACTAGATATATGATGAAGCATATCTTGCCTTTGACTTCACCTGCACAAGTGCCAAGGTAGGTCTCCACGACAGAATTTGTTTAACCTGCGTCGGGAGCACACGCTGGGCTGTCCAAATCACAGACAAACAGTATCCCATATTCTTGATTTTTTTTAGTTCACAAACACTTCTTATAATGACAAAAAAATTCCTGACATTTTAGAGATGTTAGCTCTTTATACGCGAAGATTTTCTTGTAAAACAAAGGGGGGCTTAGCAAAAAACTGATGTGTAATGTCATACTTCGGCCTCTAAAACTGAAAACTGTTTCAACACCACAGCCTCTCTGAGTATTGTTGTTAACCATGTCTACACCTTTATGACCACAGTGCACCTTGTGCATCCTCTGATGGCAGCCTCCAGCAGAATAATGTTCCATATCACAAACCTCAAATCATCTCAAACGGACTTCCTGAACACGACAATGAGTTCACTGTACTCAAACGGCCTCCACAGTCACCAGATCTCAGTCCAATACAGAACCATTGAGATCTGGTGGATGCTCAGCTGAGAAATCTGCAGCAACTGTGTCATGCCATCATGTCAGTATGAAACAAAATCTCAGAGAAATGTTGAATCTGTGCCACAAAGAATTAAGGCAGCTCTGAAGGAAAAAGCAGGTCCGACCTAAAATTAGCACGGTGTACCTAATGAAGTGTCAGGTAAAAACTTTGGCCATGTTTATTGTGAGCATCCATCATGGTAACAGTATAAGACAGACAACAAAAAGCCATATTATATATATATATATGTGTGTGTATATATATATATATATATATATATATATGTGTATGTATGTATATGCCAATACTGAAGACTAAGCATTTGTATAATAGTTTGTCTTAAATTTCCGATTGGCTAGAAAAAACACAAAAAAGGGGAAAATATATAGATACCTGATCCCAAAGATGAGTAGAATCTCTTTCCTGTTGGTCTTTCATTTAAACGAAGGCCCAATGACCCCTTTAAGGAATCAGTGCATTAGCAGTAACACACACGAGACACTCTAATGTTGTTATGAAACATACTGAAGGGAAATACTCAAGTCACAGAAGTCACCTGGTTGTTCACCTGTTGCATTTTGATATTGAGAAGTAAAGGATCGTACTCCTGTGGATCGTAGGTCTCTAGAAAGACATTCCCCTGTGGATCAGAGATAACGTGGCAGTGAGATAAGTTAAACATTCATCTCATCTGTTTTTGCAGTAATAGGCACAAAACCTAAACATCGCCGTCCACAACAACACAAAAACTCTAGCACCAACATGAGGAGTCATTGACCTAACTTCAAAACTAATTTAAGCTTCAGCACCACCTTGGAGTTACAGACATGGAGGTAGTGATTGTAGAGGTTGTGGCGCCTCTTGGCCTCTGGGCAGCTGGACACATGCGCTTTCACTCTCTGCTGGATGGGAAACCAGACATGTTCAGTCCAGTGTTTGTGGAGCAGCTCTCTCCTCCTGAGCTCTGTAACATCACGCTGACTGAGGTAAAACTCCAACTCCTGAATGAAAACGCATTTCAATCAATATTGGAGGTATTTTTAATAATGAAAAATAAAATGTGAGGTGTGTCATTGTATTAGATGGACTACAGTACAATTAAAAACTAGTACCCTACCTTGATAAACCCATTTTCTGTCTCCTGTAATGGCTGGAGTATTTCCTTCACTTGCTGCTTCTCAGCCTTCATCTTTGCCTAAATGACAAGAAAGAGATTCAGGAATTCATCCTTTCCATTTTTTCTGTGAAGATGTGAGTTGACTGAGTGCAGTACCTGCAGTTGTCTGAGGGAGGTGTAAGAGAGCCAGTCCCGTTTGGTGGCCCACTCTGGCACATAAGACACCTCATTCCTTTTCTCTGGCGTTACAGACCTGCAGGTGCTCCTCGTCCTTTCACGCTGCTGTGAGCTGCTCCTTCTGCTCTTCTTGCTCTCCGTGGTGTGCTTCACATCTGTAACGCACTCCTGAAACACCAGATGTATATTGTACGCTGTAGTTACTGTGTGCAGTGCATAAAGTTTGCTTGAAATTACAGTATGAATAATAAATGAATGGTTCCAACTACAGTGATGTGCAAAGCTCTTGAGCCACAACTCATTTTTTTATCCTTGTATCTTACCATTTTCAGAGTGATGGGTTGTTGTTGTTTTTTTTAAGGTACTTACACTGACCTATTACATTTTGACATAAAAAAGCCACCTAATGCAAGAACTGAAACTATGTTGTATATACACATACTGGACATCATGGCTAAGAACAAATTTTAAACTATCTTTAGGCACTTTGTTACTAGCAGCGTGTTACAAAAACACATAATTTCTTTCACATTTCTTTAGTTGAATCTATGGAAAATTCAAAAGACAACACAGTTCGACAGACATAAAATAGATCGAATAGTATAATTGCACCAGGTAATTGATTCTCAAAGAGCTATTTTGTGAAGAGATCCTGGCATAGTGCGCCATGTGTCCTTAATATTTTTGAGGATAGTGGACAAGGGGAAGACAAAAGAAAAAGTGGCAGGCCTAGAAAAACACGAAAGTACATGAAAGTCACGTTCTTAAGGAACAGGACTTTAAAAAAAGCAACGAAGGAAAAGAAAAGGCAAAGACCTGAGAGATGCATCTGGCCTTTCAGTCGACCAGTCTACTGTTAATTGAAGCCTCATCAGAAATGGTCTCACTGGAAGGTCGGCTGAGGTATGCTAAATTACACAAGAACTGGTCTGAAAATCAGTCGCAACACGTCAGATGGAGCTTGAAACTTTGGTTAAAATTGTCATCAATATTTACAGAAGCGGTCAGGAAGCTACAACAGTGAGTCTCTACAGTTGGAGATCTTGTGAAATTTGATGAATTTATAAAACACAGCACCATCAGATATTGATCCACCATTTGATATCATCCAGAATGCATCTGAATGGTGTCAGCTTCATTTTTTCAGTATGACAATGATCCCAAACACACTGCCATTACAGTAAAAGCCCAGAGTTCAGACTGCAACATTACTGAAGCATTCTGGGATCATCTTGGCAAAGAACAGAATATAAAACAGCAAACATCCAAAGATTTCCATTTCCTAAGCAAATAATTTAAAAAAAGAGGGGTATCTCAAGAATTTTACACAGTAATGTACATCTCTTGTTTTCACAGCATTCAGTACTTTGAATATATTTACAGACTGCAGAGTCCTGTGTAGACCGAACTCTTGAAATCCAGCCAAAGTTCACATAGAGAGAAGATCATGTCCATGTACACGAATGTAGAGTCCACCACACCCATCACTACACGGAAACACAAGCAGCTTCTCGCAGTTACATTAACACGTAACACGTTATATGTGCATTTTTACACTCTGGTGTAAAAGCTAATGACACTGGTCATTTTTATGACAGCGGTTTTGGCATCAGTGCACAGGTACGTGTGCTTATTGTTAGGTTTTATTGTTGCAGTAGATAGGCTAGACTCTTTGTTTTGCATTTAACCTGATCCGGGACCGCGCCTCCTTTAGTCCTTATTTAAGTGCGGGTAACAGTGGCTACCGTATCTGTCAGTAAACTGAAACCTTTTCATTCATTTTAAAAATAGACTCTGAGATTGTATGTTCAGATATGATACGCAGTGCAGTTAGGAAAGCCAGGCATGTCAAACTCATTTTACATTGTGAGCCACATACAGGGCACTTTAATCTTAAGTGGGCCAGTGAAACATCAACCACACATTTAACCCCCGAGATATTTTAATATAATAAAAAGAAGAAAGAAAAAAAACTATCATCTTTGAATTAACTGATTTGGTTAATTAAACATGAATTACACATTCATTAAATTTTTCATTAATTAAAATTGGAAATAACTCTAAATGTTTTAAACAAAATGAATTGACATTTAAGTCATGCATATATTTAACTAATTATTTCCCATTTTAATTAATTAATTACGTGTAATTAAAAATTCAATATTTATATGTATTTATTTAATTATTTATTTAATTCACTTTGGCACTTGAGGCCCTCCGTAGACTGCGTGCACATACCGTATACTGAGAGCAGGAGAACAAATACAGAAGAAGAAGAAAGACTGGAGATAAATTATTAGGTGGTGAAAGGTCACAGTCTCACTCTGCTGTGAAGTGCAAACTGCACAGAGTGTCCCACGTTCACAAGAAAAAAGTGTGCTCATCAAAAGCCAAATTTTAAACAGAACATAACACCACTGCAGTGCTGCCGAGCAAAACCACTTACACTGCCGATGCTCTTTAATTAAAAGTTTCATTAACAGCAGTATATTTAACATAATGGGAAGCGGGTTGGTATTGAGCCACCCAGTAGCTCCTTTTGTGTAATATACAATCCACTTCCGAGCTTTCTTTTTACTACACTCCGACTTTTATGAGGATGCTCTCTTATTTATTATTACCTCTGATTTTAACAGGCTGACAGGAAAAGGTGAGTGCACGGCGATCAGACCACTGGGACCCTTCTTCTTCATGTGGCTCATCTCTACATCACGACAAAACAAGCAGCCTGGAGTCAGCGACATGCTGGTAGTGATAAACGATAGACAGTGTCAAAGAACAACACTGACTGAATTTACTCATCACTTACTCCATACCTGCTAATTAAGTTGCTTTAATTTCATTAAAAGCCCACGTCTCCATTACAATGTGGTTGCTTCTTACCTGTGCTGATTTGAGGACTGAAGTTCGTGTGGCCAATTTACCAAAACTCTCCGTGCTTTTAGGTCACGTGCAACACACATCATTTTGGAAAAGTGTGCAGACTGCTAACTTTTACCCTGGGCTCAGACTTACTTTTCTAACGGAGCCAGTAAGGAGATACCTCCTCCAGGTGAACCACCGTCTGAAGAGGGTTTCCGTTGCCATGACGCCGACACGCAAGCGAGCCTGGGGCGAGCACGCGCAGAGACGTCGTACGTAAATGGCGAAGGTTCTGCGTTCTGTTGCATTAGTAATATACAAACACTGTCCAGAAATTTAGTATGCAGAAAATGTTACACACACAATTAGCTGCTCGTGTTTTAAGTTACCCAGGCTGCAGACTCACTGGACTACATATAGGCTGTTTACATCATTACTCCACGCTGCATTAACTGTATTTGTGGAAAGTGATTTCCCCACATCTGTGCTCAGATTATGCAAGTCTAGACGAGTCATGCACCAAGAGTAGTAGGTTTTGAAGCCCCTGACTGTTGGATCCTCTTTAATGTGCGCAGAGATCAGCTGAATAACTAATGTTAGGAGGTCATCATATTTAGCAGATGTTTGGGCAAAGGTGGGGAAAACTACAAAAAAATTCAGCATAGATGCACTTCAAGAAGAAAAGTACTCTTATAAGATTTTTACTTATAACATTTTATATTTAAAAAAAAAAATAAGAGGGTAAACTCGTTTAAAGTCCCAAAGGTTGAAAAGTCTCTTTAGGCGACACCTTTCACGCCCGAGGAGGGTCTTCCAGCCAATAAAAACTTCCGCTACACGGTGGAGTAGGTTCAAGCGTTGTAGCCTTGCTTCTAGGACTTAATGCGCCGGTTGACACCTGAGGTGCGCTTTGACGGTTCTCCTGCGGAGAAAGCGACGACTTAATGTTTGGGTATTAGCTGCGTAAAAGAGGCAGGGCAGGGCTTGGCCAGATCATAACTTCGTCTTTTTCATTTCTTTCTCGCTTTTCGTTGCTGGGGTCAGCACAGGGGGGAGGCTACATGGATTGGTGGACTTTGTTGGCAGCGAGTATTGCCCTACTCTGGATTTTCTGCTTTATAGACGGTAAGGGAAAACGGCTTTTTAATGGTTTTATGGCACCTGTCCACTAACCTATAAACGCACGGCACAAGAGACCAGGAATCACTCTACATAACATGTTAAAGTGGTTGTGGATTCTATTGTAGCTCATATTTCGAGTGTATTCCCTCGAAAGGTGGATGCACTGAGCAGATGAAACTCTACAGATTAGGGAATAGTTTGTGTCCCAAAATGACACAAATAGCTAAAATGGGCGCAGGTGGTGCAGATCGCGTCACTAACCAAAACCTTCAGTTTCTGTACGTTTTAAATGAAAAAATAAGATATATTACATAATTAATATTGTTTTATTAAACTCTTTTGATGAGGCAACCACACTTGATTGCTTCGAGATGACGGGGCGGGGAGAGGGGGCAATACAAACAATTTTGAGTCTTTATTTAGAGAGTGAATGGTTTGTGCTTTAGGTCAGGTGGTTGTCAGGGTACTTTTACTTGCCGAAAGCTCGCTTTGCGTGCTCAGTATACCCGCCGCCCAGCCGGCTGGTGAGCAGACTTTAATCCAGTGGCAGACGCTGTTTGTGGTTCTCGACATTAGCCACGGTGTTAATTTAGACTCCAGCTTGACCCTGTTACCTTCTTATCTCCAGGCAACGCCGTGCTTGAGCTGCGGTTGCTCTTCCACGCTCTGACCAAAGCCGCTTGTCACCTGTACCTGGCCCTGCTCCCGCTGCGCCGAGCCGCCACGCACTTCTACGACAGCGCGCGGTACTGGGTCAACCATGCCCAGCAGGGCCCCTCTCCTCCAGGCTACCTCCATCAGAGCGAACCCCTGGCCAGGAAAGGCACGCTACACTTTCTGGAGGGCATGTGCGTGGTGTGCGAGACGGTGCCCAACATGATGGGCGCAGCGCTGAGCGTCGGGGCCGCTTTCTGTCATATGCTGCAGGGAGGTTTCTACATCCTGGCTGCCACGCTGCGCACCATCCAGATCAACCTGTTCTCACAGATGAACGGCGAGAAGGAGAGGTGGGACAAAGAGCGGCTAAGGGCGAAAGAGGGCGAGAAGAGGCTCAATTCCAAAGTGCTGGAATACATCTCGGTGTTTTGTCAAGACCCCGTGAGCGCTTTACGCATCAAGGTTGACGTGCCACCCGTGTACAGATAATCTTTTTCCCGTGGCTAATTGGCACATAAGGGGCCTTCTTCTAACTGCTGAGGGGTTAGAAGTACAGCAGAGTGTTGATTGGTTTGCAGGGAGGGCAGGAGGTTGAACTCTGACTTCTGGTTTTCACTCACTGTTGAGGGGAATTAGTTACCAACGGAATCAAATAAATTATATTTAAGCACGTGTGGGAAAAGACGAATAAAACTATGGTGCATTTTGTTACAACTGTTTCACATTTATGGAAATGTAAAGAAAATAAATGTCTCAATCAAACAAAACCTGACATCTTTGCTTGTTTTGGCCTTTAGAGCTTTATTGCTACATTCTTTTATACCAAATCTTACTGGCAACCAAGTTTATTTTAAAGTGCTCTCTTATTCATTATCTCAGTCATTAATAATACATCTATGGCAATATATTTACCAAAAAAATAAGGATCAGCAATAGAAAGTATGTTATTATTCACCTACTGATTCTGGTTACAGTCAAACTAAATCAGCAATAGGCCACCAACATTTATCCTGCAGGGCTTTTTAGCTTCATCTCAGCCTTCTCAGGTCTCAAACCCATGTCAGCAAGGACACAGAGGTAGCCAACATTCAGTAGATTAAGTCTGGCTGGCATCCGGGATCAAGTATTTTGCCTGTGAGCTCAGACTGCATTTGCATCTTTACACAGTCAAACTGCTAAAGAGACCACAGGGATGAAAATGAGGAAGAAGAAGTAATGAAGAGACAGGCAAGTTTGGGGATGGGGGGAGCAGGACTGTGAGCTGATACTGAAGATGGATTTACTCTACTTGACACTAAAGTCTTGCGTCAGGTATAGCGTGGAGGCTCTCAGGGGGGATTTTTCCAGCTACAGTGAAAGAAGAGGAACAAAAACAAAAATAAGAAAGATCCCTCAGGCGGGTGTAGTAAACAACTGTAAGCTAATCGGTAATTGTATATGTAAAATAATCTGATCATTTTAAAGACAGCAAGGTAAAAAATAGAACAAAATTCTCAAGACGGACACAAAACAGCAGCTTTATCTTTACTGGAATATCACAAATAATCTTACAGAGTATGTCACCAGTTCTTCTGACAGCTGCTTTGTTCACTTTGTATTCGTTCTGCTGGGACCTGAGATGAGAAGAGTGCATGTGTAACTTTGGCATCAGCATTATGGACGGCTTCTCAAACCACCAAAGAAAATGAGCTTAAAACCAAACAGGGCTGCAGGTTTAATCTCATTACTCACGCCCTCAACTTTGTCACTGCCTCCAGTCTCCGCAGTGCGGAAAGAACATTTTTCTGTGTGTCAGAAGAGAGGACTTCAAAGGTGTGAAGATCACCTGCAAAACAAAAAACCCAAAAAACTGTGAGTTATCTGCAAGTTATCAGGTGGCAGACAACTCTAGAGGTCAGAGGTCATTCCACACACTCAGTTTTACCTGAGAGGATGAGTTTTGTAGCCAGGTTTTGCACAGCAGGTAGGAACTGCTTCTCCGTAAACACGTGAGCTCCGTTTTCACACAAGTACCTGAAGATCAGCTGGACATGAGGGGAAAAAACCCCAAAAACATCATTAAAACGTTGGTATATTAATGTGGAAATAAAGTCAAATTATGGTCAAAAAGTAATAAATGCTTTGCCTAAAATTTAGTCAATAGTAAGTTAACAATTTTACAAATAATTTTCATGTTAGCAGATGTTAATGTTTTCCAAATGGTTAATAGTTTAGTTGTAAACCATCTTGACCACCATTTGATGGTTACTGTGAAGTTGCAAGAGATTCTTTGAAGTCATTAAATATTGTACTGTGCATCTATAAATCTATAAGTCTATAAACATTAGACACAAGATGGAAATAAACTGATGTTTGGAATATCCATTTTAAATCACATAAGTAGGACTCGTGTCTTTAGTTTCAGACTCAGTGATATGAACTGCATCTCCTCTCTAAAGATAATCTTAATATATGTAAACCAGGAAGTACACAAAACTGTATTTGTCTTACTAAAAGACAAAAAGTTTTCGATATACTTTTGCTAATGCAGATAAGCTCCCACAAAATTGAACTCTTTATGGTCATAAAATGTCTTAATGACAATATTTATAATTTTTCAAGTTTCAAAGATGCAACTACAGCATGTCTCTTTATGTCATTAGAAACTATGCCATGATTGTTATATTTTCATAATCTGTTATCTGATAACAGTGGTTAATGTTTAATGACATTTCTTAGAATACAATAGAAGGTCCGTAATAAGAAAAAAAACTTTACAACATCTAACCAAGAATCTTCACAACAGTCACTCTCCACGAAATACACTTAATCACAGAGAGAGATACTCAAGTTAGAAGGACCTGATATGAGTCTAAGAAGGGTTGCAGCAGCTTCTGCAGAAAGGATAACACTTCCAGCCCCGTTTCCAACACGGTCACTTCCTGTTCACTCATGTGGACTGCTCCACATTTCTGCAGAAGTGAACATGCCTCGTCAAAGTCCTAAATGATGGAGGGGCAGACATATGCAATATGAGTAACAATAATCTGTCTCATTGTTAATCACACACAAGTGTGTATGAATATGATAGTAGCAAAACACTGAAGCACTATAAGCACAAAATTTCTTTCATTAGCTCTTCCTGTGAATTGGATAAACGAGAGGCTACAGTGACCTTGGCCTTTTACCCAGTTCATGCACAGAATAATCGTGATCCTGACAAACATGGCTGTTACCTGCGATGCCCTGCCAGGGATGAAGATGAATTCATTGGCGAAGACGTCCCGCAGGAAGCAGAAGAAGCTGAACAGCTCATCTGTGAACAGAAAAAAGTTAAACAAGATGTGTCCATTCATGAGACTCAGAATCTGCAACTGCACCTAACATTTACCCTTCTGTGTGCTTTTTGTGATGTGGATGGCAGTAGCAAGTATTCCTGGACGCACAAAGACATGCAACGCCTGATTCCTGTAGGAAACCAGCATCAGCACCGCCGCCGCCGTCCTCATCACACCCTCCTCTGGGCTGAGTGGATCTTGGCTCGCAGGGTCTCCATCCTGAACCAGGCAGACACGGCCCGCTTTATGATGGACGATGGAGTGATGAAGAGCCACGGTGGATGACATCACGTCTGAGTCTGGGGTGTGTGCTGCAAAACGGGTGTAAAGTTTGAGGGTCACATGACCTTCAGAAAGTCATGCGTGCATGTGTGTGTGTTGAAGTGTGCACACGTGCCTGCATGTGTGAATGTCCACACACAGGACACCTGTGAAGTGAGACAGTTCAGTGGAGTCCTCTTAGGATAAGTTACTTAAAGTGCATTAATCCACTGAACATCTCCTAAGTGATTCTGGACACTTGTGCCAACTTGCATTCACCTAATCTTTGTGATCCACACAGGACCGGGTCAAAAGGAGCCTATGCAACA